TATCCTCTTTTTATTTTTTTATTGACTTATTTAATTGCATCACTGTAATGAATAGCCTACATACAGATTTACATACAGTATATCTTTGAGTCACAAATCACTGCGCTGATAGTTGTAATTAACCATAGTCCTGCAAATTGTTATGTACAATTGCTACTGAATCACTCTAATAATTAGTTAATGTTCCGCAACAAATGATCTTCAATGTACTAGTGAATACGTGACCTTTCCATTAATTAATTGTCGCCCCTTGGAGAGCATGAGGCCAAATACTCTGAGTAACAATATCGTCCTCTACATTTGATGCACAATTCACCTCAAAGTTATCAAATACTAAAGACTTCCAATGTTTGTCTTAATGTGCATCATTGTACCAAACTCTAACCAAATACATGTATTATATAAATAGCATTTCAGTCATTCAAAAATAAATTAATATTAAAACTAAAATATTTGAATTACACGTAAAAACGTGTCAGTTTGTGTGTATAGATGTGTATGTATATATAGCTTTACATTTTCCTAAAGACATGTCAGACATATGTAACATATGTTACACTTTTAGGCATGTGCATCATTCTAAATAGCAAATAGTGCGTTCCTTTAAACATGTTATAAATACAAATAAAAACAGGTTTTACCAGCCAAGGCGGACTTCCAGAGGTGTCCAGCCTGCCCCTGGTCCTTGGAGCAGTACATCTGTCCCCCCCAGCCGTTGGTTAGAGCCCAGGGCTGGTAGCTGTCCATGGGGAGCAGGGTGTCGTGGCGCGGCTCTCCGGCTCCCAGTGTTTGGACCACCGACACGTCCAGGTAGCTCGCCATGGACTGATACGGGCTTGGGTAGCTGTGGTAAAAGGCGAACTCTTTGGCCCGGTGGTTCGCATACTCGTCCGAGTTCCCCGCGGTGTCCATATACTGTGAGCTGAGCGCCGCTCCCGCCGCCTGGGTGCACGACTTCAGGGAACCCCTCCCCATCCTGCATGGATAGTAGCCGTTCCCGAAGTAACTATACGGCAACGCGGTGGCGGCCGAAGAGCTCTGATGCGACACTGCGGCCGCCGGACACGGCCCGGACGCACACTGCTTGCCCGAAGACCCGCCAGTCTCGCTGGATCCCGAAGCGGACACGTCCATCGCGGGGTAGCCTGCAGAGGAGTGCACCAGGCTGGACGCGTGGCCGCCCAAAGCAGCAGCGGCCGCCGAGTGCGCCATGATGTTGCGGCACTGGCTGGCGGCGAAGTTGCCGCTGCCCACCAGCCCATCCATGTTCTTGTTCATGTCGTCCAAGTTGTTGTCATACACAAACATCACTGTATCCGCTGGCCAGCGAGGGTTTAGAACTAACGAGGCTGTCATAGGCGTTTCTTTTTCCCGGTGTGTCTTCCGCTCGTTGCCGTTTCCTCTCACACTCTTACAAGTCCTTCGCGCTGAACGTCTACATTGGCTGGATGACAATGAATTGGCGAGGGTTTAATCTTCTCTGATCGCTAGGTTTCCTGCTCAGGTAATTCATATGTACCGTCTCGCACACTGTTGTAGCACGCACGCTGCCTTGCTTATTTTTAGTACCGGTGCTCGCTTGGAGGCAAAGAGCAAAGAGTCCCGGTAACCGACTGGACCTCCGGTTACATCCCAGCCACAGCCTTGACGCAACAAGCCCTTGGGATCAGAAGATGAGGGAGGCACGCGGGGCAGGGGGAAGGGGGGGGGAGGGGGGGGGGCGCTTCTTCATTGGATGAGACCGGACGATCACGTGATGGTGTAAATGAAAAAGAAAAAAACAGGGGAAGAAGAGACTTGATGGGGATTGACAGTCAAAAGAAATATGTTGATGAGGGTCGAGATGTGGCACGAGAAGATCGGATAGTAGCGCTGCTTCACAAAATAACGTCTTTTTGTTGCCATGAAGGCATTACAAATAATAACATCCCAAGAGTATTTCCTGTCTTTAAAAATATGCCCGTATAGACATTTCTTGGCCTAACTGTAGGTGTGCTTTTAATCTGTCTGTCCGTCTCTCTCTCTTCTTAATCTTTAGAGGGGAAGATTATTGGAGGGATTTTTAAAGGCTGAAGATCGGAGCGCGTCAGAAAAAAAATAATTTAAGTAGTTATACTTAAACACATTCTTATGATGTAACCCTTCCTGTGCTCTCTTCGCCAATTCACTGTCACTGCAATGC